GACCTCACAAATCCTCTGGGACGAAAAGCTTGGGGATTCGCTAGTGCAAAAGCCTCGGTGTAAGGCTGGGGCTTTGGGGTTTAGGGTTTAGGGTTTAGGGTTTAGGGTTTAGGGTTCAGAGTTTGGGGTTTGGGGTTTAGGGTTCAGAGTTTGGGGTTGGGGGTTTAGGGTTCAGAGTTTGGGGTTTGGGGTTTAGGGTTCAGAGTTTGGGGTTTAGGGTTACATTTGGGGTTCAGGGTGAGCCCTTGAGTACGCAAGTAGGGGAGGATCTCGGCCCGGAGGGGTTTTGGGGACTTGGCTTGGCGGATTTGGAGGTTGTCAGACGGGTTGATCGGGGGTTTACCCTAAGGCTCAAAATAGCCAGAAAGCCTTTCATAGTACGGTCTTTGGGCCCCAAAGCCTTAAAATATGAGTCCTTAAAGCCTTTGGGTTTAGAGTTTCAGGGTTTTTCAGTTTGTTCTAGGGCTTAAAGCTTGGAGTCTATTGAATTCCGACTCCGGTGACCTAATCTAGGGCGGTAAATAGCCAATTACCAGCATTATTTTGGTTGGTTCCTTATTAAAAAATTTAGTCTGATGGCCCCCCAAACCTTATTGGAACTATCAAGGCCCTACATTAATCCTGGGGTTCTAGTCGTCTGCAGATACCTTTGCTGTACATACGGTACGTAGCCTAAACTCGCCCTGAACCCCAAGCCCAACACACCCTAAACCCTAAACCCTAAGCCCAACACTTCAAATTAAACCCATGCCCTAAACCCTAAACGAGGGGGCTGCTGATGCCGTGCATGTGAGCTTTGCTTAGGGTTTAGGGTTTAGGGGCTTTCAGTCTGAATGGACGATTATCTTTTCCAACTTGTTTGGGGTACTGGTGGGGAACTGGAACTACAATGGAGATTATAGGTAGACCCCAAACCCTAAACCCTAAAAAGCCTAAGCCCTGAACCCTCAAAAGCCCAAGCCCTAAACCCGAAGAAGCCTAAGACCTTAACCCTAAGAAGCCTAAGCCCTAGACCCTAAACCCTTCCCGGTTGCTGGGAGCCGAACCAACCGCTGCTAAATCCTATAAGAACCCCTTTCCCTGAGGCCTGCTACGGGTTCCTGTATCCCTGAGGGTCCATGTACGCAAATAGAATATTAGGCCTTAAAGTAGTCCCTATTTAGGTACTTTGGGGCCAGTGTATATGCTATATGAGTACGTGGACCCCTAGGGTATAGGTAGTTCTCTAGATTCAAGTCTCTTGACGGTCTGTGAATCAGGGGTGTACATTAAGGGTTCATGCATAGCTCTCTCAATTAGGGCCCCTTTTACGGTCTTGCTTTACAAGGGTGCCGTGTTATTTCGGGGACCCCCAAAAAGGTCTTCATTTGGAGAGCTACCATGTATGTATATGTATATATATATATATATATATATATGTATACTGTACTATACCTGTAGCTGGAAAGACCTACCTTTCTAGAGTTTCATGATTCTGGCTTCTATATATAATTTTACACATACATCTACGTACATATATACATCTATGTATACGGATACATTTACATATATATATATATACACACATTTATACATATATAGTTTCTTACAAACGTAGGTCTGTTGGGCCACATGCAGGTATGGGTACATGGGACATTAGGGTTTATCGATCCAAAAGCTGTTACGTAGAGGGCTTAGGGGTTAGGGGATTCAGGGTTTAGGGTTCTGGGTTCAGGGCTTGGAGTTGAGGGCTTTACTGAAGGAGCCTAAAATCCACCAGAGCTCGCTTGCACATATCCAAGAAACCAAGAACAAAGGCTTGTGGGAAGTATACTACGATGTAATGTTATTTTATACGCAAAAAGTAGTCTAAGAACCTCTGGATGCAGGTGAGGCAGGCAGTCATCGATGCCATCAAGGACGTCGGTGGACACAGTGCCAATCTAAGCGCGTTTGCAGTGATTTGTTGTGCTGCTCATAGGCTTTGCGCGGTATTTATAGGCCTTTATCATGGCTTTCTATCGTTTTACGGCCTGTATAGGCTGCTTTTTGGTGTTTTTTTATGCCTCAACCCTAAACCCTAAACCCTAAACCCTAAACCTCACTGGGTGCTTTTGCGCGGTTTCTGTGGGTTTTCCGGCTCGGAGTCTTCTCTTCCGTAGCCCTGAGCCTACCCAAGCCTTTTTCTTGGCAGAGTCCCTCTAAAGTCTGTGGTAGGGTTCAGAACCTACAGCAAAGTCGGGTATGGTAGTTTCCGTAAAAATGATGTGCAAGTAAACCATAATCAATGGCCTTCTTCGGCTACCGGGACTGCCCTCTAAATCTAAGCCCTGAACCCTATAAACCCTACACGGTACTGCGCGCTCTAAACCCTGAACCTTAAGCCCTAACCCCCAACTGCCTCGTGAATCTAGAGGTTCTCGATGAGATGTCGGGCTTGTAGGCATGCCAGGGGATTCCATGCGCCCAGACATACCCATGTAGGAACCTCTTGGGGGTTTAAGTTTATACGAATCATATGCTAACAAAAAGGGCGCATAGATCCGTACCCTTAGCATCAACATATATCCCAAACGCCTTATCTCCCAAAAGCCTCAAAATATGAGTCCTGCGAGGGTAAGGGGCAGCGCTCTTTTGGTGTGTTCTGGCCCTTCGTAATTGGGAAGGACAGGTTCATTAATCTCAAAGCTTCTAATCTACAGCAAGAACAATGCGACGTAAACTACTTAAACCCTAATCCCTAATCCCTAATCCCCAATCCCTAACCGTAGGTTTAGATGATACTTGCCGGGGATGTTCCTGCAAGAAGGGCGGAGGGTTTACCCCTACCCTCAAAGGACTCATATTTTGAGGCTTTTGGGCCAGAACACCCTATTATGTGAGGTTTTTGGGCTATGTTGATGCTAAGGGTTAGGGTTGAGGGTTTAGGGCTTAGGGTTCTTGTAAGAGTTATAATAAGGGTTCCAGATAGGGGCCGAGATAATTACAAACACTATCCTGGGGCCCAAAACCCTATTGTAACTACTAAGGCCCCTTTATTCATCATACCCTTACCCTCAAAGGACTCATAGTTTAAGGCCCTTTGGGCCCAAAGACTCTGTCACATAAGGCTCTTGAGCTATTTTGATGCTAAGAGGCATGGGTAGCAAAGATGGTAGCCAATAGCAATACAAGCAGCAAGGATGTGTCTTGTAGTAGATGTGCAGGGTTTCGGGCAGAGGTCCGTTAGGGCTTCAAGTTTGGGGTTTAGGGTTTTTTGGGGTTTCCGGTTTAGGGTTTTGGGTTTAGGGGTTTTGGGCCCTTTAGGGCTTCCGGTGTAGGGTTTAGGGTTTAGGGTTTAGGGTTTAGGGTTTAGGGTTTAGGGTGTTTAGGGTTTAGGGTTTAGGGTTTATAGGGCTGGGGCCCTGAGCTGCTGTCATTGTGTGGGCTTTGAGTGGCGGCTTGCAGAGCTGATGCTTGCGCAGGGTTGCGGGTGCTGGGGGACCAGAACATGTTGGTAGTTCTCTAAATTAGGGTTTAGGGCTTAGGGTTTAGGGTTTAGGGCGTAGGGTTTAGGGTTTAGGGTTTAGGGTTTAGGGTTTCGGGGGGTCCCTTTGGGGTCCTGTTTGGAGAACTAACCTTGTTGTTACGTTTACATCGCTATCTAGGCATCTGCGGCCCAACGCTCCGTTTTGCGGGTTCGAGGGTGCTGGTCTTAAGCTCTCTAGCCTTTAACAGTGTCCAACTTGTTATGGGCACCTGCTTTGGTCGCATCTTGATGTTAAGCTGTACGCCTAATCTTAGCTGCTACTCCTTCTGCAATGAAAGCAACATCCGACATCACATGTTTAGAGCTTGGGGAGGGTTTTTAGTGTTCTGTTTTTTGGGTTCAAGGCACGGCATCCTGCGTTCAAGCACAACAGCAGTCCTAACTCGAGGCAGCGAAAGCCAACTCGACACCCACACCCTAAACCCTAAACCCTAAAGCCTAAAGCCTAAAGCCTAAAGCCTAAAGCCTAAAGCCTAAAGCCTAAAGCCTAAAGCCTAAAGCCTAAAGCCTAAAGCCTAAAGCCTAAAGCCTTGGCTGTTCTGCTCCTTTTGGCTCAGGTGACTTTGTCACACAGGACATGGTCCTCATAAACCACCCAACCCTGAACCCCAAATACATCCTGTTCGAAACCTAACAACGCTCTCGTAACACCTCCCCTCCAACCTTCAAAAACGGATCACAGACTTATCACCCCGAAGACAAAGAAGCAACACAAAACCGCAACGCAGCACAAACTCAAACCCTAAAGCCCTAAGCCCATCTAAGCCTTAAGCCAACGCAACACGATCCCAGCCCCACTGCTCCGACCCTCTACACACAACACAACCAGCAGCAGTCCTATGCCTTAGGGTTCCTCGTTGTCATGACCGTAGTACGTACCCCCTTATCATAAGGCCCCTGTCTTAACCTCCCTGCTGGCCCGCATTGGGTCCTGAAAAAATAGTATTGGGGCCTTAACAATGACCTCTATTATTTTGAGGGCTCCTTGTTATAAATATACATTACACCAAAAACACTATTCTAATTGTAAAGGCCCCCACACCCTAAACCCCTTATAGTAGCCCTTATAGAGCCCGTTAAAGGTACCCCAAAGAACTCAAGCTCTGACTAGGTACCCTGCAGGGGCAAGTGCCCCTGCAGGGCGCTGCTTTTAACTCCAGTGTCACCCTTGCGCCGGCCTGCGTCTCCTGGAATCAATAGGCTCCTTGTCATGTTACCCGTAGTAGTTCCTCTTTGGGACTGCCTTATAGGATTCTAAATATGAACCCCAAAAAGGAACTACTATGGGTCTCATGTTATCTATATTGTAGTCTCTTTGTAGCTCCTTTTCTGGGCCTGAGCCCTAAACCCTAAACCCTGAACTTCCTAAGCCCTAACCAATTCTGCATTAAGGATCCTAAAAGGTAGCCCCAAGAAGGAACCACAATGGAGAAGATAGGTATAGTCTCCATTGTAGTTCCTTTTTTTGGTTTAACCAACTCTACATTAAGGATCCGAAAAGGTAGCCCGAAAAGGGAACTACAGTGGAGACTATAGGTACCCATAGGCCCCATAGTAGTTCCTTGTTGGGGTTACCTTATAGGATTCTACCTATGAACCCCAACAAAGGAACTACTATGGCGCCTATGGGTAGCCCCAAAACCCTAACCCCTAAACCCTAAACCCTAAACCCTAAACCCTAAAACCCTAAACCCTAAACCCTAAACCCTAACAACGGAGACTATAGGTAGGTAATGTCGCGAAAGGGAAGGTCTGGGGATGCTTGGGGGTACTGCAGGGTTTAGGGCTTCGGGGTTTTAGGGTTTAGTGTTTCGGGTTTTAGGGTTTTAGGGTTTTAGGGTTTTGGGTGTTGGGTTTTGGGGTTTAGTGTTTAGGGTTTTGGGTTTTGGGTGTTGGGTTTTGGGGTTTAGTGTTTAGGGTTTAGTGTTTAGGGTTTTGGGTGTTGGGTTTTGGGGTTTAGTGTTTAGGGTTTTGGGTTTTGGGTGTTGGGTTTTGGGTGTTAGGTTTACGGTTTGGGGTGTTGGGTGTTGGGTTTTGGGTTCGGGGTTTGGGCTTTAGGGTTTAGTGTTTCAGGTTTAGAGTTTTGGGTTTGGGTTTGGGTTTGAGGTTTGGGGTTTAGGGTTTGGGGTTTGGGCTTTAGGGTTTAGGGTTTTGGGTTTTGGGTTTGGGGTTTAGGGCTTCAGGGTTTAATGTTTTGGGTTTTGGGTTTCGGATTTCGGGTTTAGAGTTTGGAGTTTGGAGTATTGGCTTTAGGGTTTAGGGTTTAGGGGTTTAGGAGGGGTACTCGTTGCCGAGTCTCCTTCGCAGGGGTTTAGGGATCATAAGGTTTAAGCACTTTGGGGGGTTGAGGGTTAAGGGGAATGTTTCGGGTGAGGTGTCGAGACGCGGCTATGTTCGCAGTCGGTTATGGTATCTCAACCTAGCATGATATGCCGCACAGGTGCCGTTCCAGTCACTGTTGACTGTTGCACTGTTTAGTATCATATGTTTTGGTGCGGTTGCCATCAGCTGCAATGTTGGCTTGTTATTGCCTGCTGGTGCATACACGCACTAGTATGACTCAATGAAACGTATTGGTCAACATGATCGCTTGGCGGCATATGGGTAACTCTTTCAGTTAGGGTCCCTTTCTAGTTCCCCAATGTAGTACGGCACGCGTATATATATATATATATAGATAGATAGATAGATACAATAGATATAAATCCTACAATGCCCTAGAGAGCCTGTTCGGGGTTCGGGTTTAGGTGTGCCAAACGGGAGAGAACGGGGAAAGTCAAGGTCCACCATGTGGGATATTGCCACAGGTTATTGGCATACATGAGACCCAGTATAGAAGCCTATAACGCTTACCCTCAAAGGACTCATATTTTAAGGCTTTTGGGCCCAAAGACTTTTGGGCTATTTTGATGCTAAGGGTAAATGATTGGCAGTAGTGTTCCCGTATACTTTTTTCCTTATGTTCGAACATACCCGCAAACCCTATGCCACTTACTGAGGCCCCTGTGTTAGGGACGTGTTGTACCCCCCGCCCTTCCTAAGCCCTAAACCCTAAACCCTAAACCCCCTAAACCCTACACCCCAAACCCCTAAACCCTAAAC